ACACACACACACACACACACACACACACACATAATGATGAAAAAATTAAAAAACATATATCTCTTATGCATTAAATAAAATTAGTGTTACATGTCAAATTCCACAGTGCAGTTATTAACACTGAAGTCACTGAGGCAGCACTTCCAAAGTGTGGAGTCTTCCAAATCAGGTACGAGGAGTATGATATTCTGTTTGGTTCAGCTGTATGTAGTTCTGATATAAACTTTTTTTCCTAAGATTAGCAGCAGTAGGAAGAATGTATGTGTGTCTATGCTTGTATGTATGTGACTATAGGAATGTATGTGAGTATAGGAATGTATGTATGTGACTATTCCCCTTGGCAGGTTGATATGCTGTACTCAGATCTTTGAACCACAAAGTTGTCACGATCAGTTTGTCATGATGTGACAAAATACCCTCAACTCAAAAGCATTGAGTTGAATGCTCAAGAGGGTGACCATTTCCTTGGCTCTAACATGTACTATTTTTACAAAATATCTGCAAATATTAGCAGCTGTAGTAAAGCATCCTTAAACATAGACAAAATGTTTTGTATTTTAATATTTATACCCTAGATAAGACTAATTAAAGTTTAATAATTTTAATAATTAAGCATAAAGTTGTTACTATTAATTCATTGATCCCTTTAATAATTTGGATTAATTTCTGTCAGTGTGTTGTCAGGGGCTGCTGTCTGCAAATACTTTTGTGTGGCTTTGATATTTATGATTCAGTAACAGCTGCACAATCCCCCACTGAGAGATAATTATTTTTGGACTTTGCAAACCTAGGGAGATACAGCATAAACTACAGGAATCACTTAATGTTATTTCAAATACAGACCAATCTGAAGACAGAAGTGATGTTAGGGTAAGGCTGAACAACCTAACTGTACTGTCAAATACAGTTAATGAATCATCACTGCAAAGTCCACTTTGTTTGTGTATTTGCATTAACAGAAACAGCCAGATATTTTGTCTTCTGCTATTGTTGTTGAAAAATGGAGTTTCAGAGCAATCAGTGGGTTTGAGGGTGTTAACTGTTTATGTTTCTTTAAATAGTCTGATCTAGGACATACACAGTGAAATCAAAATATTTTCCCTGAATTATGCACAATTATCATCTTTTCAACTATGCATAATTTTCAGTTTCTGGAATACGTATTCTGATATAATAATACGTAAAGCTGCCTTATACCTTTGATCTAGGTAGCTTGCTTATCCACATTAGTTGGCCTCAATTCCTCAGTCTTAGCACTTTTTCTTCCATCTTTTCTTGAAGTTGTTAGGGATTGAATCTGTGTGTAAACATAGCTCTAAAATCTATGTTTTGAAACTACAGATCCCTACAGATCCCTGGTGTTTCAGAGCACTTGACTATGGCGCCTAATAGCATTTCTGTATGGATCTGCTCATATGTCACATCAAATCCAAAGAGCCATTGATCAAATCTCTCTCTTTGACTCCCTCTTTTCTTACATCCAAACTAGGACTTAGGAAAGTACTGTAAATACAGATGCTGTAAATAAATCAATATTTATTTTACAGCCAAAAGGCCAGAAAACAAGTTACAAATATAATCTGGACTTGACATTGAATAAAACAATTCAACAAATAAAATATTTAATAAATATTACATGATACACTTAAAGGCCCAACTCATTGATTTGTTGCTAAAAACCTTGTCTTTATAGCCATAGTTAAAAATCTGGATGTTGCTGCTGTA